TTGTTCATCTTCGGAACACAAATTAAGATATTTTTGATGAAATCCGATGGCTCAGTGAGGCCTCTCTAGACAGCAATGTCATTGAACATTGAACTTGAATCTTTTGTTTCGAATCAGTGATTTGGATCGCGTGTCAAAATGCCAAACTGCTGAAATCACGTGACTTTGACGCTCCGAATCACTGATTCGAAACAAAAGATTCAAGTTCAATGTTCAATGACATTGCTGTCTAGAGAGGCCTCACTGAGCCATCGGATTTCATCAAAAATATCTTAATTTGTGTTCCGAAGATGAACGAAGGTCTTACGGGTGTAGAACGACATGAGGGTGAGTAATAAATGACATTATTTTCATTTTTGGGTGAACTAACCCTTTAACACCAGTCAGGAGGGATGTTATTAGGTTCATGAGACTCCATCTTGAAAAAAAAAATCAGGCTACTTGGCTCCAACAAATTTCACTTCATTCATACACTTTTGTTACAAATTAATTTCTATTAGTAACACCAATGGGCTTTTGCATAAATTAATGTTTAGAGCTTATCTCTTATTGTGACATGACTTATTAGAGATGATGCTACATATTGTGATCACAAATCTTTTTATTTTTTTGTATTTACAGGTTTCTTGTCAGGATAAATCCTGAAAATTCGAAATGCAATTCTGAGTTCCAGGTGAGCAGAAAGAGCGGGAGGATTGTTAGGAGGAAAACCACAGCCTTAAACCCACAAGTTGCATCTTTCATTAGGGAGTTTGCACAATATGACTGGCAGAATCATTAAGGTAAGAGTAATATTAGGGGTGTGCAACGGAGCCAATATCTGAAGTAATCTCAAACTTATTTGTGTCTGAATCTGTATTTAGAAAAATCTTAAAAATGGTGGAAATGGCCAGAAATAACCAAAAGTTTGTGAAAAAATGAGAAGTCTGTTTTAAAATGTAATTCTGTTCCCTTCACAGTTTTCATTTAACAAATATGCCTTGTATAACTCACAGAATTTTTATTTTTTAATTATAATTGTAACATTTCTTTAAACAAGTTTAAAGTAAAAAAAATACCTGATTTCTGAAAGGCACACAGAAACGGCAATGCGGTTATTTGATTTGCAGTTGTGCTGTGCTCATTTCATTCATGGAGTTTACACTCATTTGTGTTTCATAGGGCTGAAATGGCCAAAAATTATCTTGATAAAATGTTTCATATCAGTCATATCATATTAGTTTATATATTCATTAAATGTCTTTCCTGAGGTAAATGTAACATTGCTTGACATTATTGCTTTCTGTTTTGGCAACCAGATACATCACAATGTGAATTACTTTTAAAGGATTAGTTCACTTTCAAATGAAAATTAGCCCAAGCTTTACTCCTAGACTTTCTTCTTTCTGATGAACACAGTCGGGAGATATATTAATTCATATCCTGACGAATCCATCATAAACATACTCAACACGGCTCCAGTGGGGTTAATAAAGGCCTTCTGAAGCGAAGCGATGCATTTGTGTAAAAAAAAATCCATATTTAAACAAGTTATGAAGTAAAATATCTAGCTTCCGCCACACAGCCTTCCGTATTCAAGTTACGAAAAAAACGGAACTGGCGTCACGTAAGCTTTTTGAACTGTGAGAGTTTTACACTTACTTTGTAAGTTGAATGCGGAAGGCGGTTTGGCGGAAGCTAGTTATTTTACTTCATAGCTTGTTAAATATGGATATTTTTTTACACAAACGCATCACTTCGCATAAGAAGCCCTTTATTAACCCCCCGGAGCCGTGTGGAGTAGGTTTATGATGGATGAATGTGGATGGAGACACTTTCTTCAGCTTCGTACTCGTTGGTCCTTACTGAAAATAGATGATTAATACATTTACAGTGCCGCCTGAAAGTTTGTGAACCCCTTGCAGAATCTGTGAAAAATTTTAACAAAATAATTTTTTTATTTAGTACTGTCCTGAGTAAGATATTTTACATAAAGGATGTCTTACATTAAGTCCACAAGACAAGAAAATTGCTGAATTTATAAAAAATGACCCCGTTCAAAAGTTTGTGAACCATTCTTAAACTGGTTCTTAATACTATGTGTGGTTACCTGGATGATCTACGAATGTTTTTTTGTTTTGTGATGGTTGTTCTTGAGTCCCTTGTTTGTCCTGAACAGTTAAACTGAGCACTGTTCTTCAGAAAAAAATACTCCAGGTCCTGCAGATTCTTCACTTTTCCAGCATCTTTTGCATATTTGAACCCTTTCCAGCAGTGACTGTATGATTTTGAGATCCATCTTTTCACACTGATGACAATTGAGGGAAAAAGCCATTCACTGATGCTCCAGAAGGAAACACATTGCATTAAGAGCCGGGGGTGAAAACTTTTGAACATGAAGTCCAAATTTTTCTTATTTTGTTTAAATATACATTTTTTTCATTTAGTACTGCCCTTCAGAAGCAACAGAAGATACTTACATGTTTCCCGGAAGACAGATTAAGTACAATTTACCTTGATCTTCGAATTCAAAAAATTTTCACCCCCCGGCTCTTAATGCAATGTGTTTCCTTCTGGAGCATCAGTGAATGTTTGAAACATTTTTAATAGTTGTGTTTGAGTCCCTCAATTGTCCTCAGTGTGAAAAGATGGATCTCAAAATCATACAGTCACTGCTGGAAAGGGTTCAAATATGCAAAAATGCTGGAAAACTGAAGAATCCGCAGGACCTGGAGGATTTTTATGAAGAACAGAGCTCAGTTTAACTGTTCAGGACAAACAAGGGACTCATGAACAACCATCACAAAAGAAAAAAAAAAACAGTCGTAGATCATCCAGTATTAAGAATCAAGGGTTCACAAACCTTTGAACGGGGTCATTTGAACAAATTCAGCTATTTTTTTTTGTTTTGTGGACTTAATGTAAACATCTTTTATGTAAAATATCTTACACAGGACAGTACTAAATAAAAAATGGCATGCATTTTGTATGATCTCTCTTATTTTGTTAAAATTTTTAACATTTTCACAGATTCTGCAAGGGGTTCCCATACTTTCAAGCGGCACTGTATATTATAAAATATATGTGTGGGTTTTATTCTATGAAGATTAAATAGTTTTTTTCTGCAGTACATGGATTTTTCCCTCTATTGGGTTTTCCTGCAGTTGGTGTACATTGTAAAACAAACTCTGAATATCCATTTATGCCACACAACATGTAAGCAGTATATACCATTGGCTATTACCCACCAAAATGTACATTGTATGTATGTTTACTTTTGAGTTGAAAATATTAATGAAAAGTACAATTTCAGTCGCTGCGGAGCCCTATGCACAAGCTTTTGCCCATCATTTAAAGGTGTTGATAATGTGAGTTTTTTGATGATTAGTTGTATGTTTGGCCTCAATGATTGATTTGTGCTTATCATTTCTTGCAGGATTATCAGAAGTGCGACTTTTTCCACATGACACCAGCCCTCCTCACCTGGCCTTCATCCTCACCTTCTTTCTTTGTTCAACTTCTTTCTTTGTTCTACTGTGTTATGTAAGTTTGTATTTTACCTATAAATTTTTGCATGAATTGTTCACTGATTTTAATTATTAATTATAAATTGTTAATTAGTTGTGTTTAAAAACTGATTTTTATTGTTGCATTATATGTCACTGTTATTTTAATTCTTAATTATAAATAGTTATTTAGTCTTGTTTTTTAAAACATATTTTTTTGTTGTATTATATGCTGTTATTATTACTAATGTATTGTTCTGTGATTTTAATGATTAATTATCAACTGTTAGTTAGTCTTGTTTTAAAACAGATTTTTATTGTTATATGTCATTAGTTTTACTAATGTATTGTTTAAAAATTTTAAATAAACTGTTTTTGTGTATTTAAAGCTTCAATTGTTCTTTTTCCTATTTCCCATCAACAGTTGAAATAGCACTTTTACAGGTTTTCTACAAAATTTAGTCTTGTTTTTTAAAACATATTTTTTTGTTGTATTATATGCTGTTATTATTACTAATGTATTGTTCTGTGATTTTAATGATTAATTATAAATTGTTAGTTAGTCTTGTTTTAAAACTGATTTTTATTGTCATTATTTTTTACTAATGTATTGTTTAAAAATTTAAAATAAACTTTTTGTGCAGTTAAAGCTTTAATTGTTCATTTTCCTATTTACCATCAACAGTTGAAATAGAACTTTTACAGGTTTTCTACAAATTCTAAAGGTTATACAGTAGCACTATAAAATAAATTAAAATAACATTTCATAACTGTATAATACTATACAGTATTATTAAAAATCAACAGTGTAATACTGTACTTTGACATGGTAAAAAATACAGTAAAATGCTGTATTCAATTTTACAGTAAGCTAAACACTACTGTAGTTAGTGTTACAGTAATTCAAAATAATGATCTTTAAAATAGCATCATATGACCCCTTTAAGCTTCACTGTTTGCAACATTTATTTAGCATAAATATTTTGGCCACAGAATATATATATATATATACAGTGGGTACGGAAAGTATTCAGACCCATATATATATATATATATATACTAATGCTAACCTATAAAACCTTATTGCAAAGTGTTACCAAATCATTTAAATGTTGAAATCTATTGATAATTAGATAACAAAAATACTTAAGAAAAGAACTTAAAATAAATAATAACTTTTATGTTTGCCAGAGTATCACCTATTGTGTAGCTTATATTGACATCAATTGTGAACTGAGTGTCTTGCAATCTCTGCTTAAGGAGCACACAATCACTGCCTATGTAGAGCTTTCCAAGTCACTCACTTTTAAGGTACCATTCAAGTTAGGTTGCTGCCTTAGAAGGCAATTTTCAGTTTAGGTAGTCAGCAGCGAGAAAGCTCACTACTTTTTGGAACAGAGCTAATGTGTTACAACTCTCTGGTTTTCCCCTTCTGAATGCGCACTCTTGTAAAAAGAGGGAAAGCATGTAGGTGAAATGAGAAAGCGAGGGAATAGAGAGGGGACCACCTGCAGCATTCCCGCACAGCCATCACAAGCTCAATTTATCTGCAAGCTCCCATGAACAGCAGATGGCATATTAGAGATAGAGTCTGTATTTACCTCTCAACTTTGCTTTTATTTACACCCATTTGAATGCACAATTACAGGTGTATCTGCTCAGGAGAGGCTCCACGCGGCCCCCTCCAGAGCTCTCCCGCTCCCTCTCACTCGCTCTCATTCTTAAAAGGGACTAAATGAAGACAGGAATCGGCTAGCGCGTCTCCTCTCATTCCACATGCAGATTTATGCAAATCCATGCGCAAGCAGACACTGACCTCAGATCGCCAGACTCAAGTGCTGTAAATATCAGATTTTTCCTCTCATTTTTAAAATCTTCTGTGTCATCTTCTGCCGAAGTTAAAGAGAGGACACTGGCAAAAAAAAAAAAAAAAAACTTTTTGGAGATTTTCTCATTAATATGCAAATGAAGGCAATCAGATTTGTGGGTTTGACTGAATTAATCTCTGCCACCTCCTTCGCTTGTGGTGTAATCACAAATTACAGACAGGCATCTGACAGACAGCTAAGGCCTCGGATGCCGTCAAAAATGCCTTTTACCTCAAGGGGAATATTCGAATCAACTGAAACGGTCAGCTGGAAAAAAGCGTGGCGGCACTTACACAATCGGTTCCGCCGGGACTCTGTTTTATTTTCAACTTCAATCTTATTCACCATAGTCTAATCATGAAGTACCTGCAGTCAGACGGCAGCGTTTTAATACACTTACAGCACAACAGAGAGCTGGAATCACAAACGTCACAGTAAATTGGATTAGAAAGTTAGGGGACAGACAGAGAGAGTCCTTCAACAAGGTCTTCGTTTTCTTTTGAAATTCGTCATGCTTTAACGAAGTCTTCTAAACTCACTTTCGCTTACCTGAAGTGCACCGCACACACAAAGTAACAACACTTCGGATGAAGTTTAATGACATTTCCAAGTATTGACTTGCCTGAATCCATGTAGTAAACTAAAACAATCCCAACATAACTTATCTACAGTACATTCTTACCTTGTTTAGAGGAGAATATGACACATGGACCATAAAAAAAGAGCTGAGTCTGAAGCAAGATACGGGACCCGCAGCGAGCCGAGAGTCTTCCGTCACGGCCGGTGCGAGCAGCAGCCGCACACCTGTCGTGCCAGCGTGAGCGACGCAGCGGCCCATGCTTCGTTAGGGTGACAGAGAGAGGTGGCGAGCAGGCGTAATGGCATCATTTTCAACCGAAAACACAAGGAGACAGACAGCACTCTCATCTAACGAGGAATACTTCAGAGCTCTCCGCCAGGCCGCTGCAAGGTCACCTCGCTGGATACAAAGCACGCTGGGATGAGACAGCAGCAGATATATAAAACAGGAAATGAGGAAAATGAGCATCTGAGAGAGCAAACATGTAAGCATTAAAGAGGAAGATTTCATTACAGGCATATCTGTAGGAGGGGATTGTAACTCAGTCTCTCTGGGTTCTCTGGTGAGTAGAATCATACTGACATCTAGACAAAGACGTGGAGAAAAGGTCATGCTTTAGTTCACAATTTCACACTAAACCTTATTATATTAAAGTCATGGTGTGTGTGTGAATGAGTTCCAAGAATGTGAATATAGTGTGTGCTGTGACATTTTATTATGTAATATATCTAACACACAGTTAGCCAAGTTGATGTTGCATAACACCTTTGTGACAGACATCTTCCAGAAAGCAAAAGCTCCCAATGGTAAAGGAGAACATTAGTCTTTATGGATTTTCGGTCACCACAACAAAAATTGGTTGCAGGAACACACCACTACACTCTTAAAAATAAAGGTGCTTCATGATGCCATAGAAGAACCTTTTTGTCTAAATGGTTTCATAAAGAACCTTTAACATCTAAAGAACCTTTATTTCACAAAAGGTTCTTTGTGGAGAAAGAAGGTTCTTCAGATTTTAAAAAGTTAAGAAAGAGATGGTTCTTTAAAGAACCTTTGACTGAATGGGGGGATGTGTCACATAATATTAATAAAGGTTCTTATTATTATCCATGTTTAAAACTGCTTATGATTTTTGTGTAAACCGTGATACATCAGGATTCTTTAATGAAGAAAAGGTTCATTGAACCTCACTCACCAAACTTATTAGAATTAGACTGATTTCTGAAGTATCATGTGACACTGAAGACTGGATTAATGGCTGCTGAAAATTCAGCTTTGCTATTACAGGGGGAAAAAATATTTTAAAATATATTAAAACAGATATTTTAAATGGTAATATAACTGTTTTTCCTATATATTTTTTCTATATTTTCCTTTACTTTATTTCCTTTATTTTTCCTATATTTTGTCTTTCAAAAACACACACATATATATATATATATATATATATATATATATAATAACAATGCATTTATTTATTTATTTTTGTGAATCAGAAAGCAGATGTCATTGTACTGCGTTTTGTGACACGTTGAATGGCGAAAAGAAATGTTCGCAAAAAAATTGTTGAGAAAAGCATCTGGTGATAAAAAATAAAAAAATAAATAAACTTTTGTGGGCAAAATACATATGTCATTCAAAGTTTTTCTGTTACCCACAAAATGAAAAAATGCATTCAGCCTTATGAGCACGAAATAGTAGGAACATCCATGCGTTACTTACAATTTTGGATAAAGTCAAGAAGTGCTGACCCAATGCGACTTATTTTTGCCTGTGTTTGAAATGCTATAAAGTGTAAGTGCATTGTTTCAAGAAATACTGCATCTAGTCCACACAATTAGTAAGGTTACACTTGACACCTCTATAAATCAGTTTAAAGGAACATGTCATTGACATATGGAAATTGAAAAACATTTGCTCACCCTCATGTTGTTCCAAATCCTGACAGTAAAAGTCACCATCCACTGTGGTCACATGGAAAATAGCTGCTCAGACATTTAGTCTTGCAAAGAAAATGACAGCCAGAAATTGATGACAACTTTTAATTTTTAGGTTCATTTCCCCTCACGGAGAGATCGAAGCGTGTTCAAAAACCACCAACATCCACAGCTAATTGTCTCTGTTTCTTGCTTTCATTGCATAGGCCCACTGTTTGGACTGCTTCAGCCTGTTACGAGATGACTAAGGCTCAAAACCCTCTGATTTGCTGCTGTCATCTGTTCTTTCTGCTTGTCTTTTCCTCTGGAACTACATTGTAAAATGTTCTCCTGCCTCGAGCATTAGATAAACACGGATAGTCGCCTCAAGAGTGTGTGTGTGCCTTGCAATGAGGCTGCAGGCCTGCGTTTTTAAAACACTGTCATTGTTGGACTACTGTCACACTGCCATTTTCAGCAATCATCACCTGGCAACGTGGTTAAGCCAGACTTGAGGAAGATAGGTTTAAAAGCCACTGAGCATTATCGGCTTAGAGGAACATTGGCACATTTCCCCATCCGTTCTTGGGTTCCTTTTAGAATGATATCCTTCCTTTTTTCCAATTTCTCCTCATAAATCTACTGCTCAAACATTTCTCTTTTATTGTCTTTCAGCGAGCCAAC